AGAGAGAGAGAGAGAGAGAGAGAGAGAGAGAGAGAGAGAGAGAGAGAGAGAGCGAAAAAGAAAGAGATAGGAAATAGCAAGTTACCGCACGCTTCTTGTTTAAAATTCCATCACTTCAGAATGGCTATATACCGCTGATGCTGGCAGCGGAAGTCGGCAACACTCAGGTGTGCAAAGAGCTTGTAAACGTGAATGGAGAGACACAGGTCAAGATGCAAAAGAGGGTGAGTAATCATCGTAATGAGAGTGTGCTGTATTATCTATATAGAATTAACGTCTATATGTGGTACGTGCAAACATCTACGAACGTAACCAAACACGCTCGCCAACTCGACTGCTCGTATCCTGTTAATAATATGTACTATACTGATATATATATATATATATATATATAAAGTCAACAAAAGAATATGGTACTCAGTACTTAAACAAGAGAACGATTTAGATACATGCGAGCGGCAATGCTATTTTCTACATGCTGCAAGTATGCCGAGCATAGCAAACCCGTTGATGAGAGGCGTTGACGAGTATAAATATATGCATGCAATCCCATATCTGGGTTGCTATGCTAAGCTTGGTATTGATGAATGCAGATCCGCAAATGCATTACGTATGAACTCTTCGTCATCGTTCTCGTCCACAAATTCTGCTCACGCGTTTACTAATTCTCGTCTCTAGGACACTGGAGAAACTGTTCTACATATAGCCTCACGTCGGAAAGATGTTGATATGGCGCGAGTCTGTGTGGATTCTGGTTGCGACGTGGATGCCCAAAACGTACGCTAAACGCATGACATCATCGCCATATGCTGCAGCTACTGCTGTGCTGCTATGTACTTCTGCCACGCACGTCGTTTAATTAAAGCTCACTTGTTGTCTAGCTGTTTCATGATAATGCTCAATTACACCGTCGGTAAACATTGTCGCGTGAAGCGTAGAGCACACATCGAGGAGTGCACACACGCGCGCACGCACACTCACCCACACATACACACACACGTACGCAGGCACGCACACGCACACACACACACACACACACACACACACAC